TATGAATAATAGTGGGATTCGAGTGGAATGCTCTGCACCACTATATGAGCACATGCTTGGTGAAGAACAGTATGAATAATAGTGGGATTCGAGTGCAATACTCTGCACCAAGCTCTCACTTTTCTTTCCCACCTGAGCAAATATCCGGGACATTTGTACAGTCTCCTTTGAAAGACCAAACACTATTTTCTCCCCAAGTTTGCTTTTCTCATCCTCCTTTTATCTTGAGCATCTCTCTTAATCTTTTTTCCTTCTCCTTGGGCCAATCTGTATTGGGGTGAATGCGGAAAGATCAGAGACACGGAACAAGCCACATCCTCACCTGGCCAGTTCCTCAGCTGATCCTGTTTCCTCAAATTGGAAGCCTCTGAGTCCTCACCCAAATGAATCTCATCTGAACTGCTGCTAAAAGCTTAAAAACTCTAGTTCCTGGTCCTCACACCTTACATACCTTTCTGCTTCCTACCATTACTTCCTGGGATTAAAGATGTGTGTCACCGTGCCTGGCTGTTTCCAGTGTGGTTTTGAACTCACAGAGATCTGGATGGATCTCTGCCTCTGGAATGCTAGGATTAAAGGTGTGTGTGCCACCATTTTCTGGCCTCTATGTCTGTCTAGTGACTGTTCTGTCCTCTGACCCCAGATAAGTTTATTAGGGTGCACAATATATTGGAGGACACAATATCACCACACCAATCTTATCTCATCCCCTGCACACATTTGCCTCCCAGTTGTAGCCTTCCTTATGTCCATCTTGGAGGGCTGTTTATGCCTCTGGACTCAAACACATGTTCTGCTCAACAAGCCACGTGCTGTGCATGGGATGGGCTTGTGTCTCGGAGGAGCCATGCAGTGGGGTGGTCCCTTGCCAGGCTGGTAAGCCTGGTCTGCAATCATCCAGAACTATACCTTTGTCCAACATGTAAGAAGATTCTGGATGGGGTAAAGGGGTCCCTCTCAGGCTGGTTGGAATTTAAAGTGGGCTGGAGGAAGGGCATGTGGTTCTGTGGTGGGAAGCCTTCATCACCATTGTGGGATCTAATGCCAGAAGGTTGGTCCGTCTGTCCGTCTGTCTGTCTCTCTCTCGATTCAGTTTGAGAGCCTTCAAAGTGCCTATGCTAAGACTCCATTTTGCAGCATAAATCAGTCTCACAGGGTTGTCAGGGGGAAGTTAATAGGGGTAGAGGGAAGCAGTGACGTCTGCAGGCCTCTTTCTGAATGGGAAGCATCAGTGCTCCTATTGGTCTGCTGGACCCTTTAGGCCTCCTCTGATGGGATTCCTCTTCCTGTATCCATCACCATCTGGTCATTATTTTGAGTTAAGCTCATGATTCTCAAATGAATGGGGCTATTAGCTCCATCAGGAGCAACTGTGGAAAACAAACCAAGCTAAACCAGTTAAACGGCTTCTATACTCTATCCCAGACCCAGGGGATCAGTGTGTCTAGGGAAGGCCTGGGATCCTGCATTTTTCGTGAGCGCCTGAAGACAATCTTGTAATCGAACAAACTGAAATGTAGGCCTGGTTTGTCCATAACTTAGGAGTTCCTGGTCTATCAGCCATGTGAGATGGGATGGGATGGGTGGCCAGTGTGAAACTCTAAAAAGTTTTTGCTAGCTACTAATAGTGTGATGTTTGCAAAGCAAATGAAAATTCTAGTATCTTTTTCTGTCTGTACACTCACCTGGCCCTGAAACTCTGATTTGGTAGATTTGGGGGATATCTACATTAACACACACACACACACACACACACACACACACACACACACACACGAAAACACATAGCTGACATTTCTTTTGTGACTCTTAGGTCTCATTCTGAGAAATACCATCTTATTATAAATTATTTCTGGGATTAAAGTCAGCTCCTAAAGGAGCCTAGGGTGAGGTGTGGGTGGGTTTGGATGGTGCTGAAGAGAGAGCTATGTCTTGCTAGAGCAGCCTTGCATAGCTCTGACAAGGACTCTTTACCAATCGTCTTCTCTGGGACAAGAGTTTGTAAGGTCTAACATTTGGAGAGCCTGCCAATCAACTTCCTATAGTGTAACAGATTCCTGAGACTATCGATCCGCTTATAAAAAGAAAAGGTTTACATGTGTTCAACACTTTGGAAAGTCTAGCGCCCGGCTGATCGGCAATGCTGGTTGGCCCGGTTGCTTTGAGCCTGAGAGGAAGCAGACACCATGGCGTGGTGCCGTGGAGGAAGCAGATAGCTGCATGGAGGTGAGAAGCAAAGAAAACATTGGCCAGGTCACTGGTGTCCCCTTTGAAGGGCAGCCCCACATGATTGGAAGACTCTTAACTAGGCCTCTCTCTTAAGGTCTCTACCCTCCTCATGGCACTGGGGAAGAGGACGAAGCCTCAGACTGGAGTCTCTTGCAGGAACATTTGAGGTACAAGCTGTAGCAGAGAGAAAGCGGTCCAGAGGAAGTTAGGTTAGAAAGCAGTGTCCAGCTTTCTAAGGACTGGCTGAAATGTTTTCACACCACTCCCATCCTCTTTATTTTCAGGAAAAAGTCTGAAATTGACTATGAAGCAACAAAGCCATGTGCGACAGGGAAATGCTGAATCCCACCCTGGCTGGGAAGGAGTGAAGGCCAGGTTGGCACCCAAGAAATTCTTCCTGCAGTGGGGGAAGGGACCCTCCCGGGCTCGTCAGAAAGAGGCTCATTACTTGTTCCTGAAATTCGGTTACAACGCATTCCTCAGCAACCAGTTGCCTTTTAACAGAAGCATCCCTGACACCCGCCATGCCAGGTGATCTGAACCAGGGGTGGCTTTGCCAGACCTCAGTGTAGTTTGGTGATGAACTTCGGGAGCCATGCCAGTAACGGGGCAGAAAGATGGGTGAGGGGAGCAGACAACTGTGGGGAAGGGGAAGAGCAGACCTGTATTTAGTTTAGTGTTGTTGTTTTGAGGAAAGTTCTTAGCATGTCGCCAGGGCTGGCCTCAAACTAGAAACCCTCTTGCCTCAGCCTTCTGAGTGCTTCGAAGACAGTGCGCCCTCCCACCATGCCTAGCTGGGTTCTTGTTTTTAATTCATTTTATGATGGCGTATCAGAGAAGATAATGGACTAATTCAAATGCTCTAGCTCCCTGGAGAGAGGGAGAGGGCGCGAAGGAAGAGACCCCATGTAGTGGGGCTGATTTTCTCCCCAAACCCTCGAGTAGAATGAGGGTTTGACTCAGTCGTCGTCGTCGTGTCCGTCCGTGTCCGTCCCCCGTGCCCCCTGTTCCTCACTGAATCTCATAGAGTTTCTTTCCTGGGTGAAGCCTTCCTCCCAATTTCCCTCTCCATTGCTCTAGTTCTTTCTGCCCTCCCCTCATACACACACACTTTCATTACACACACACACACACACACACCACCACCACCACCACCAACAACAACAACAACAACAACAACAAAACAAACAAGCAAAAACCACTCAAGCTTTTTGTTTTTTTGAGACATGGTCTTACGTAGCCCAGGCTGACCACAGATTCTATGTGGCTGAGGATGCCTTTGAACTCCTGATCTTCTCATCTTAGCCCTCTGTGTGCTGGGATTGCAGGTGTCTACCATCATTCCTGGTACAGCTGTGTTGACAGATAAAGATGGATGGCTTCTGTGTAGCTTTGGAGAAACCCTGTCTTGAAAAACAAGCAAAAAACAAAGAACAAAAATGAATGGTTTCTATTCTAATTAATAAATTGACTGAAACAGATCTCATTATATAGTCAAGGCTGATCTCCGACTTTTGGAGATCCCCTTACCACTAGCATGCTAGTATTACAGGTATGAGTCACTACGTCCAGCAATGGTTCTTAGTATGTTCAGAGTTGTGCATGAGCCACACAGTCTTAAAACATTTTGATCATCTCATAAAGAAACCCTGTGTTCTTCATGGTCCATTTTATCATTTACAATCCTCATCCCTATGGATTTCCTGGTCTGGACTTTTCTTAGGATAGAATCATATATATGGGTGTGTGTGTGTGTGTGTGTGTGTGTGTGTGTGTGTGTGTGTGTCTTTTTTCATTTTTATAATATGTCTGAAGTACCATCTATGTAATAGCTAATGGTATGCACCAATACTTCCCCTTTATATTGATATGTGGCATTTTGCTTTTAGTCATTAGCTAATGACCATTCCATTGTTTCCAGGTCTGGGCAACTGTGAATGATATTGTTGTGTTTTGCTTTTTTAATGAAGCTGAGTTGGGGTTTGATAGAGACATGCTAATAGATAACCACAAAAGTAAAGGGAGAGAGAGGTGCTCAGAAGGAAGTGAAACATACCAGAAGTGTGGGTGTGGGCTTCTCAAAGGATTGTTTCATGTGCAAGCTTGTATGAGAATAAACAAACGTCTTTATTTTGTGGATATCTGTAGTGGAGTTGCTAGGACATATGGAACCCTGTATTTAACCTTGGGAGAGTCTACCTGACTATTTCTTAAAAGGCCGAATAATTAGTTTATGTTCTGTCCATCAGTGCTGAGCAATTTTTGTGTTGCTTGTTTTTTATTTTTGAGGGGGGATCAGGAATTCAAGGAGTTTGAATTCTGGGCTACATAGATCTCTGCCTCCCACGTGCTGGGATCACAGGGATGTGCTATGATCACAGGGATGGACCACCCTGCGTGGCAGAAGCCAGGTCTGGTGCTGTGGTTGAACCCTCTAAGAAAACAACCTTCTGACTGGAGAACACGATATACACCAGGCCACATTTTCAGAAATCATCTGGAGGAGACACAGCAAATGGAGAATCATCCTGGCAAGAACGTTTTCTAAATCTCAACAAGGCTCAGTAGGAGTCTGTGGCATATGAGCCATTGCTTGCTCCATCTACCACACCCCCAGTTCTGGAGAATGATATTCTTCTATGCCAAGTTCTCTACTCTGGGTAGGCGTGGTCAAGAGGGTCCTTGCCACTGCATCTCCCATGGGGCTATAGTTTCATCCCTAGGAAGGGCAAGCCAACTAAAAACACTTCACACCTTCCCCCTCCCCATCACTGAGATGCAAATCCTCTACCTCTGGAGGTGGCTGAAGCCACCCTGGACACCCACCCTCCTCAGCTCCGCCTCATCCTCTATCCACTGACACCCCCCACCTCACGGGAGGGTTTCTGACAGTAAAGTTTCAACTCCACCTGCCTCAGACCAAGAATACTGGTTCTAGCTGTCGCTTCCCCAGTTTGCTTACACAGAGGAAGCTCTATACTAGAATGCTGCAGCCAGGAAACCCAGGGGCTGCTGCCTCCTTCCTACCACCTTCCTGTGCTTTGTGTCAGCCTGCAGAACAATATGCCACAGGCTCAGGACAAGTGAGCTGATGTCTGTACCCTTAGCCCCTGAGGACCAATGCAGAAGATCTGTCCAGGATGAAATTCGGGGTGAAAACCTTCCCTGCTCTTTTTAAGGGACTGGCCTTATTTGGAACAGTTTTTAAGTCGGGGTCTCACTATGTCGCTCTGTCCTGGAACTGACAGAGAGCCACTTGACTTTGCTTCCCTAGGGCTGGGATTAAAAGCGTGCACCACACTCTCCACTAACCATGCATTCTTGGAGAATATTTAAGAGGAAGCTCACAGCTCATGTTATAGGTAGTGACCTGTGTAAGGGTGGAACATTCAGAAATCTAACAGAAGCTGAGAAGACACAGCCAGAAAGAGCCTCCTGGGATCACACACTGGGCTGGACCTACAGGAAGAATCAGATGAGCATGAGAAAGGCTGATAGCCATTCCTCAGCCTACACACAGATCCACCAAAGTTAACCTGAAGCCTGCTTTCACTCAGGCCATTATCCCAAAATAGTGTAAACAGTAAGCCACTCTGATCCAGGTCAATTCTAGGATGTCGGGCTTCAAAAGAAAAGTCATATGCCAAAATTCCTTTAAAAGCATAATTGTGCTTTTAAATTTTTTATACTCACCCCTCCCACTTCCACATTCCCAATTTGCTTTGGAGACTCTAACTAAAGTCGTGTGTCACCTAATGATAGGCTGAGATTGGGGGAATGTGACATCAAGTCCTTTTTGCCGTAGTACAAGCATTCTAGAGTGTGTTTACACAACTGAGACAGCTGAGCTATCGTTGGGCAGCATGTTTGTATGTGTGGTCTGTCACAGACTGGAACACTTTCATGTGGCGCATCATTTTACTGGCGCACGCCTTTAATCCCAGCACTCGGGAGGCAGAGCCAGGCGGATCTCTGTGAGTTCGAGGCCAGCCTGGGCTACCAAGTGAGCTCCAGGAAAGGCGCAAAGCTACGCAGAGAAACCCTGTCTCGAAAAATAAAAAAAATAAATAAATAAAAAAAAAAAAGAAACAAAAGCAAGCTAGTAAAGAAGCTTGCTCAAGGGCCGGGCAGCTGGCTCAGCGGTGAAGAGTACTTGCTGCTCTTGCAAAGCAGGACCCAGGTTTTGTTCCCAGATCTACACTGAGGCGCATTTGTAACTCCATTTCCAGAGGATCTGATGCCATCTTCTGGCCTCCACAGGCACTACGTGCGTATGGTGCACATACATATGTAGGCAAACTTCCATACACAGAAAATACAAATAAATAATTTAAAAAGAAGCTTGCTTAAGAATGTTCCTCTAATTACTGTTCATAATTGCCCCCAAAGCAAAATTACCCTGAATTTCTTTGATATCTATGTGCTGGCAAATGGATAAGCGGTATATGCTAGATCTCTTCAATGCAATGTTATTGACCACAATAGGAAAGCTATTGGTACCTGCTGCAGCACTGATGACGATGTTATGCTCAGGAGAACACGTAACTTGTTTTTACTTACATGAAAGCTCCAGGGCAGGTAAGTCTATAAAAACAGAAATTCAATCAGTGTATGCCTATGGCTGAGGGGACATGGACAGATGGGTTGGGGGGAAATAGCAAATAGCTGCTAATATTTTAGGCTTTCTTTCTTTTTTTCTGGTTTTTTGAGATGGGGTTTCTCTGTGTAGCTTTGGAACCCAGGCTGGCCTCGAACTCACAGAGATCCGCCTGGCTCCGCCTCCCGAGTGCTGGGATTAAAGGCATGCACTCCCACCGCCCGGTTTAGGCTTTCTTTACACATGATAAAACTTTCTAAAATGAGAGGCTGGGGAGAGGGTGTGGTGAGGGAAGTGTTTGCTTCACAAAGTCCGGGCTCAGAGCCCCGGCACATCTGTCACCCAGTGCCGGCAGCAGGTGGGTGTGGATGGAATCTCCATGGCCATCCAACTTAGCCCAATTGTAAAGATTGGTGTTTAGTGAGAATTCCCGTACCAACAAAATAAGGTTGAAAGCAATTGAGGAAGGCACTTGACCTTGACCTCTGACCTACACATACATCCCCTCACCCCTAAAATTAATGCTAACTATTACTCTACTCTGTGACTGACGAAGTTAGGGAATTACATGTTTTTAAACAGGTGAGTTCTATTGCATGTAAATTATTTCTCAATAATTATGTTTTTAGAATGAGGGCTTGATCAATAGATAGAAAGCCACAGTTGCGCAGATGACTAAATCCTAGGCATCTGCTGTACAACATGTCTGTAGATGAATGTAAAGGAGATGCGCTGCCTCCGTGTAAGCAGAACAATGTTGGACAAATAGATAAAAAAAAAATACCTTTTGGCTTCTTGGACAAAGACTTGAGATTTTCCTTCACCCGTTCAGTTTGAGGTTCAGTGAGTTGATAAATAGAATAGCATAGATACTGAAGAGGAAGACTGGACAGCAATGCTTCAATAACTAAAGAATACTGTGTTACAAAGAATGGTGTCTTACAGGTGTCTTCAGAAGACATATCCTGCTCAGCTCCCATCCCTCAGTGTCATCCTCATCTTCCTGAATGAAGCTCTGTCCGTCATCCAGAGAGCTATCACCAGCATCATCAACCAGACCCCTCCTCGGCTGCTGAAGGAGATCATCCTGGTGGATGACTTTAGCTCCCACGGTGAGGAGCCTGAGGGAAGGATAAGCAAGCAGGATTAGCATTGGTCATCTGAGTTTGGCAGGAAAGAGGTTGTCCCTTGGGAGTTTGGGACATGGTGAGCGTCTCCCAGAGGGGAAAGTAAAGGATAATTTAGGGAGGGTGTCTGTGTGCTGGACACATTTAAATTTCATGATGCCGGGAGTACAGTTCATCATCTCGAATGCACAAGTAAGACACAGGAAAAGCACAGGATGTCCCAAATGTGTGGCCTGCCAGTGTGGATTTGGGGTCAGGTGCAGAACCATGTGACTCCAAAGTTACCTATGCCCTAAGCGTACACTATGGTGGAGACCTGAGGGTTGAGGTATATGAGACCCCAAGCAGGCTCTCAGACCCCAAGAAGGGATTCATAACCTCCCCTTATAACACAAGAACCAAATTTATCAGGTAAGGAAGCCTGGAGGAGAGAAAACTTAGGGACCTGGGATTACTCTCAATGGCAGCAAATTTTGTCTCCTGGCCACCCAGCCCCAGGTCTGTCCTACCTAAGTAGGACACACAGGGAAGAGGCAGATTGTAGACTTTCTCTCTCTCTCTCTCTCTCTCTCTCTCTCTCTCTCTCTCTCTCTC